TTGTTCACAACTAGGAAAGACTACAGAAATTGTCAACAATTTCTTCTATCTATTGCTTTTTTTGCACTTTTTTGACCATAAGCTCCTATCTACTTAAGTTTTTTTTTAATGCTCTTAAGCTAGGTTTTTGCAATGTGACAAGCAAAGCAGACTAAAAACTTCTTAAAGCTCATAAAAAAGACTGCAGATAAAAAGCACTAATGCTTTTGCTAGCGATCACGCTTTGTAAATAAAAAAATCTGCATTCTGCAAGAAAAAAACCCTGCATTCTCTATAATGCAGCAAGTTTTTTTCTCAATTCAATAACTTTACTGTAAAACGCTTTAGCCTTCTAGATTTTTTTCTGTCAACACTTAAGACAAAGTTCATAAAAGTCCCAGCATTTTTCCAATCCTTTCAGTTGCCACAGTTCCTTTATCATCAACTTTTCTTCAAAAGAAGAAAATCATTTTCTTTTAAACTGTACAGTTTATTTTTTGTTCACCCCAAAAACTCAGTCTATTAAACTTCTGCACCAGCACCGGTGTGAGCAGTTTCAATTCATTCTCGGGTTTTCTAACAAGACGTTGACAGCTTGCCTTGAGAGCCTTTGACGTCCTTAAAATTAAGGCAATTAAGATTCAAGATAAACCTTACCTAAACATTTCTTTAAAAAAAAACAAAAACCAAAAAACCAAAAAACACTCTAGATTTAAAACAAGAAGAAAAATAAAATGAGAGAAAAAGAGTAGCTTAATTTTTGAGGAAGACAATTGGTTTTCATCTCAACTTGCTCCCTCTTGACATCATCAGTTTTTCTGTTAAAAAAAAAGAAAAAAAATCTAGCTACACCTCCAGGTAAATTCTGAATTCAAATGTTCGTCCAGATGAAATGTCAACCCAGCATTTTTCCTCTGGGTTTTTTCTTTAGTTTAAAAAAAAAAAAAATTATAGCAAAAATAAAATTGTCAGACTACATGACGGAACCATTTGCACAGCACATAAAAACACTGTTTTGTTTTCGTTGGGAAAGGTAGAAAAAAAAAAGCATTCATTTGACGCCTGTGCAAACTGGAAGCCAACTTCTTGTTCAGTGAAGTTTCTCCATTCAAGGCAAAGATTTCAGACCGACATTCTTCAGTCCTGTTTATTGTCTGTAAAAACAATTGAATTAAAGTGGTCATTAAGTCAAAACAACTTTGAAAGAGGCTCCTCTCCTTTTTTTCCACCCAGTTCCCTTTAAAAGTTATCCAAGCTAAACTAACTTTGCAGCTGTTTAAATATGATACCGCCACTAAGCTGAAAATAGTCAGGCAGAAATAGGGAACTCCTGCTTTGGGGACGTTAACACATCCGAAGCAGACGAATTTACTCTTGTTAATGCTACGCTTAATGGGCAGTCTAACTACACTGAAATGAGATGAATACGTGGCTTAACACTGTGTAAATATTTCAAGAGTAATACAATAAAAGAGTGAGTATTTTCATAATAATAAGTGGCACTGTTTATTTTGGACACTAATATCAAAATGAAGGATAAAATTCAATAAAAGGATACATCCAATTTGCTAAAAAGAACACATTTTCTGATGGCAAGAACAGTTAGACTGTGGAGCAGTCTGCTTAATGAGCTGGTTATGGCTAACTTAGTAGACACATTAAAGATAATATTAATTAGAAAAACATAATTTTTGATCATATAGTGTCAAATCTTTCTAAATTTAGCACAGGGAATAAGCTATACTATCAGCCTTTTTCTTACGGAAGATAACTCTCATTTTGTGGTTTTGAGGTTTCATGTCATTTAAAGATATGTCACATCAAACTTATCTTAGCAAGACTATATGAGATCTTTGGGGAGACATAGAATGTGTGTCTGTTTCATGTCTAGGGCTATCAGTAAGGGTTAGCTATTACTTCTCCTACAGTCCTCAAAACTTGCATGGAAAAAATCCTTTTCCAACCAAAGTTCAACACAAGAAAATCCAGCACCTTTCCTTTTGCAAGCTTTAATGCATTTGCCTTGCTTAGCTTTAAATTAATTATAATATTAGGAGTTAAATTGTGATATAACATTTGCCACAGAGCTACTTCTCTGGGATGGTAAACATAACACTAACTTCAATTTTAAATATTAAATTTACCAAAGGACTTTTCCATTGTGTGAAGCCTGAAGATTAATATTTTGAATGTAACAACAGATCTATGTGGAAAGCAAGGATGAATTATTTTCTTAGGGTTTTCTATGCATAACTTCCAGTAGGAGTGCTCCAGTTGGATGCTCGTGTCCTGAGGTTTTACTGCCCTCTGGGTTGAGAGGCCACCATATGTGTGAAAGACCAATTCCACTGAAGGGTCACAGCACACACTCTTTAATCTAACCTGGCATTGAGTTTGCCCACAAAAGGCTCCAGAAAAATGTAATTCTTTCCACATTTAACATCAGAGTACGTTGTCCAGCAGAGTTTTGCTTAGAGGTAAGAGAGTGCACTTTTCAGGGGGAAGGATCTCAATTTATCTCCGCTTCACAGATTTCACACTTTTATGTGCAAAATTAAAGATTCACAAGGAAAAAAGGGAATATGGGTCTAAAATAATAGAGGTGATTTCCTCATAAAGTCGAGTCCTCTGCTCAGAAACCAAGGGCTGTTTCTCCTACATTGCTACACAATAGGTAGCCAGGTTTTTGACATGAAGTTATCATTTCTGAACATGTATGGGTGGGATCCTCAAGTACAGCAGCCAGCATATTAAATAGAAGAACGTGTAGGCTGATTAAAATATGGAACTTAAATTTTAAGTCTCGTGGTTTATTTTTACTTACAAAGAGAGTACAGAGTCCTTATACCACCCAGTTCATTCTGAGTACATTGCCTCTCCTTCGTTGCCTGTAATTTCATGATTGTTGCAAAGAAAATAAATATAATGAAATACACTGTTATAACTTTTCTCCTGACTGATCAGCTCCTATGAAATCATTTTATAGTGTCTGCCTTTTTCTTTGCCTATATCTGACAAAATCATTGTTCGGTCATGTTAATTGCTTCCTCTCATCTCGCTTTGCAAACAGCTGTTGTATATTGGGCATGATGCTTGCTATTAATAAATGTGCCCTTCGAAGACCAGATTAATAAAATTACATTTTAATTACAAAATAACTTCACTTGGTTTTATATTAAAGGTTACTGAAATATTCTGGCAGAAGTTGTTTTTTTAAGACAGAGATTGTGTATATTTTGGTTTGTTTCTGCAGCTTCTCACACTTTGCATTTCTGCCCGCAACTGGCAGATATAAATAGAGGGCACATTTCAGAAAAAAATACTGAAATAATCATAATAAAAAATCTGTAGTGGATCTGCCTGTGTGATTAAAAAAGAAATTCCTCTGAATATAAGTGCCAGTGCCATTAGAAGTGTATCCGTCATTGCAACAAAGCAGTAGCTGACAAGGAAAGATGAGAGATCTCATTCTCAGAGAAGGTGGGAATTCACCACACTGGCAAGAAACACAGCACCCATTTCAACAAAGAATTGCAACGTACTTTCCTCCTATGTGGCAAAATGCCAGTATCTGCTGCTCACAGCTACTTTATGAGGGCTTCTGAATCTAAGTCCTTCTGCTTTGAGACTTAAGTGAAAGGGAACTGGAACACGGGAATGCCCAGATCCAAGCTCCTCCAGAACACAGTCACTAAAACAAGCTAACAGGACGGTACGGTCACATATATTTCTCTCTTTGCTCTATTCTTTTTGCTCTATTTATTCTATAAATATTTTGCCATCATTTATTTACAGGTATTAGAGAGACTGATGGCTAGAAGGGATACACATGCATACATTGTGTCTCCGATTGGGGGCATCAACAAAAAGCGTGTGATCAATTGCTTTTGTAATATGTACATATAGACAAATAAGGGCATGACATAAGAAATAGTGAGGTCTTATGTTTTATGGCGGTCAAAAAGGAGCATTCTGTGATCTGAAACCATTTGTTACTCATATGTTAGACAAATAAATGCATCTTCCACTTCCAGAGGTCAAAAATGAAGTAAAGCAATTGACAGATTGGTATAATTCTAATCTTTCCTATACGAGCTCATATCTTATGCCTCTATAAGTACTATGTCATGATGCATTGACTGACATATCTAACTTATTTCTTGTCTGACTATTTGTCTACTTCCTTCTCCAAGATAAAACACATGTAATTCTCTTTTCACAGTGATGCTGGTGCTTAATATACATGTATTAATCAAGGACTGGGTTTGGGCTCCTTCCTAGAATCTGTCCAACATTGATCGGTCCCAGTGAGCACCCTGTCGCTACGTAACCTTCCCTTTGTGAGGACCAGTTTTATTGTGGCAAAGAGAAGGAGTGTTTGAGGATTATTCTGAAGATGAAGGGACTCTTTAGGAGTTCTAGATCCAGCTATCAGTGTATAAATTTTGAATTTTCCAAGGTATTCTATGGGAAGCAAACAAAGGGAGCAGAGGACAGGAGAAAGACAGAGCGGTGCTACTCCCCATCCCTTTCTTATGCCTTCTTTGTCCATTGCCAGTTCCTGCCCACACAGTGTCTGCATGGCACCAATTTTGCACAATCACAAATACCACCTTGGGGCAATTTATACTGCTTCACTAGCTACGCTTTCAGAAAGAAACCTTTACATGTGTACCATGCCAATGTTTTCACCACTGCAAAATCTAAGCCCTCTTTTTAACCTCTGACACCAGATGCTGCTTTAGCCCAGCGTGATGATTGTTAATACAGTTGTCGAGATCCTTCTGAGTCCAGCAAAGCAGCAGAGAGTTAGAGAGCATATCATTGCAGGCAGGAACTCAAGGATATTTTGCCAAGGTGAGGCCATCAGCCAAAACCTTTTGCTAATTACACTGCTATATATGCAGAATTCATCTGAACTTAACGAAGTTACTCAGAATTTATACTGCTGAAATAGGGAGCAGAATTTGGCCCACTATAATCAAGAAACAAAACCTTCTGGTTACAAAGCGTATGCCTACTTACTTAGACTGTTGGTAAGAATATGCAGGTGCATGTTCACTGGATGTTTCCACTGTCATCTGTTGCTGTTGACCACTGGCTTCCTGTGATGAAGATGCTACTGTCTGTGGAGAAGTATCAGCAACAACACCCTAGGGAATCAAACGAGAACATGAAAAACTTACTAATTTTACTCACTGCAGTGGACTACATAAAAGAGCTCAGCACCAGCTCACCATTGCTGTATTTCTCTAGAGTTCGAGAGAGTTTGAGATAGCAGAACCACATGCTAACACAACAAACTCCATCAGTTTTAGAGAGCTAATCCAGCAACAAGAAGCTTCCTTAGCGTACCAGCCCCTGTAGTACTTTGCTCTCACAGGCTGCAGTGGAAAATACCTCCACCTTTGAGGGCAGTTCCCGGCCCATTCAAAGTCAGAGGCAAAACTTCTGACTTCAGTGGAGTCTGGATTTTACCTCTTGTCTTTTTTACAACATGTGTATGGCTCTTTTGATTTTCACTTACCTACCCCAACTTCACAGTGAGTTCACATTTATTTTGTTTGATTTGCAATGCTATAAAGGCAGAATCTAGGCCTACCACTCTCTGCTCTACTACACATCCAACAGAATTTTAGCTACCTTAGAAAAACACTGCACTCCTCTACACATTGCTTTTATGCATATTCCCTTCAAAAATAAATTTACTTCACATTGAAGACTTTCAACTGTTAAGTCAAAGCTCCAATGAAGTTTTGATTTATTTATAGGTTTGCAAAAAATAGACAAGTAAACACACAAAAGATGATACGTATGAATTTAAAATTATGCACTATTTCTTATCCTATTTAAACGTTCTGAATAATATTTTTTTTAAGTATTTTTGTATGCTTTCAAAGTAAGCTATATTTTCTTTCCTTTGCTTGCTGCGTTGGTCACATGAATAACACTAGCAGATCTCTTCAGGGAACATGCTTTATTACTGTATTGCACACAACAGAGCCAGAAGAGGGAGCACAAAGCACTTGCTTTGTTTTCATTTGAGTCCTGGGTAAACAACAGGTAGTTTATTTTAAATTATCTCTTAAAAGTGTCAGTTTCATTTTTCAGAAATTCTTCCTAACTATTGCTTAACAGTCTGTCAGTGTTATCTTTTTCTATCTACTTCCTTGTCTTTCTCCTCCTCTTTTTGTCCATTTCATCTTGAGATTGTAAGCTCTCTGGGGCAGAGACTGTATTTTTTGGTCTCTGCTTGTAGAGTATCCAGCATAGTAGGGTCCTGGTTCATGATGCTACATGAATACAGATAAACATTAACAATAATCATCACTGGATCAGAGCAAGACAAACTATATATTCAGATAATATTTTTATTATTATAGTAGATAATTATGACGTCATGTTACTTTAGCATCACCAGTGGGTGATGCGGAGGAGGGGTCAGGAAGAATTAACTTAATTTCTCATTCGCACTCATCAGCACAGTATGCAGCCAGTACTGCTGTATGAGCCACTCTCCATCCCACCATCTCCTTTTAATTTGGATTTGTATCTGCCCAGTTTAATACCTAAGAATGGCAACTGAAAAGAGGCACCCATGGCCCGTTTGTAAACAAACAAGTTTAGGGCAAAATCATCCCGAGGCACAAAAGACTAAAACATGACCAGATCAGTGTGACAGAACAGTAGCAGTGTTTCCTGTGGGACCTCATTTGGGAATCTCAGTAATTGCAAAGAACTGGGAGAAACCAGGATGAGTCCACTTGACTGCTGGTGGAGCCATGCCAACAGTACCACTAACTCAGCATCCTCAAAGCACAGAGTAGTAACAGCACAAACTCCAAAGTCCACACAGCCGAAGACAGAAGTACGGAGACCGTGGCACTCCTCGCATTACCCCAGAGTAGAGGAGAAGTTATTAATAAAAGAGGGTACACCAAAGAGAAGCACACAGGGAAGAGGATGCCAAGGCTCCCTCCTCGCGCTGTGCTCAGTGGCCCTTAAGAAGCTTCACAGAAGTGGAGGCCAAGCTGACGCTCTCCCGGCAGCTTGTGGTCTACAGGGTTGAGTAAATACTTACTCATTAGACTGTCATCAGCATGACTCAGCCCCAAGGAGGGAGGGAGCGAATCCTTCCTCAAGGATGAAAAGCACTCAGTCAGTGCAGCATCCTCCACGTCTGTATATACAAGAGGAAGGTTTCCATTGCTCAATCACTTTTTCTGGTGGCTAAATGTTTCAGCAATTACCTATACTTGCTAAGGACCGCATCAAACCCTCTTGCAATCTTCTCTTCTTGGAATCTCTTTTGGGTTCGTGGTCTGCCTGCTGGGTTTGTTTTCCTGTCTCTTCCCATCTCCCTCCCAAGTAAATGGGGAAAAAATAGTCATAATCACTGATGTTTTATTCCATGTCCTGCTGTACAACAAAACAAATGCTAAACAAGAGCCCTCACAAATAATAAAAGGGGGGAGGGGAGGGAGGAAGAAAGAAAGAAAGAAAGAAAAAAGAAAAAGAGAGGGAAATGTGCAGTCCTACTTTTAAAAGCTGGAAGCTTCCAGCCACATTCCATAAAGTAACTTTAGGCCCCTTTCAAACAACAGGTTCAAGAAGGCATAATAGGTAAGAGTTCTGCTACCCCTTCACTCTACTTTCATGGATGGAGATACACTTACTTCAATAGGGACAGCTGTTGGAGGCACAGGAGTGTACTGGGGAATGTAGGTCCCTTGCATAGGTGCAGCAGCAGTCATGTACTAGAACACATCAAAGGCAAATCAACATTAGAAAACCACAATCAAGATGCATAAAACCATATTAAAAGCATGACACTTTCAATTTCCTGTTCAGAGTTTGTTGGTTAGTGTATAGCCTATTATTTCTTTTAATTAAGGATTTTAGACAATGGTAGGAATTACCTAGCTATTAAAAATCATAATCTTGAACTTCAAAGTCAGGTCATATCTGAATATACGCAATAGCAAACATCTTGCTGACAGATTCAGATTGTTCACATGGCTTCTAAAACTGAGAGATTCCTATTTGTACTTATGAAAAAAAACAGTAGAGACACAATAGCAGCATACATATAGTGGTTACAGGTACAAAAACAGTCTAAACAATCTTTTGGAATCTTATTGATCTTATCTAATGATGCCTACAAACAATGAAGTATGAAATCTGACAGGTTTATTCCAGTCTATATTTAACCCTATCAATAACAGCCATTGAGTTTACAGGGATACAAAGCTGTAGGGAGGTGCAATCCGAGACAGGAAAATTAAAGGAAGAGGAAGATATACCTGGGAGTTTCTCCTTTTGTACACAGAATCCCTAGCTAAATTCTTATGGCTTATTCTTAATATCCAGGGATCTTTTCTATGCATTTTGAAACTTATGCAAATTATTATTATAGCAACACTTTGCGTTAGTTTCTCTAAAATACTGTCTCTCCCAAGCACTACAAGACAATCTTTTTTTTAAATTCATGAGTGCATGCAAATTTTGCCATTGGTATGGCACTAATCTCTTTATATACAGCACTTCTTAAAAAGCTCTTGAACTGAATGCAACAGATATTGTTCAAATCTTCAAATAAAGTATCAATATTAAGTTGTCAGATCTATATGTACTTTTCTTTCAACAATCCAGTCCTAACTGCATGTCTTTACTGACAAGAATCTCAGAATGTGCCCAGTCCCACAACTGACTGTATGACACTTCCACTACGTGTTATCTTCAAAGACATACCGAAGATCTGAATCAGCCCAGAATGTATTTGATGAATTTTAAAATGAGTTAAATATAGCTTGGCTTCCTGGCAGAGCTAGGAAGTGCTTGCAAGATTTTATTCCACTGTTTATAGTAAAATTTACATTTAAAGCACTCTCTCACCTCAATTCTAAACTAACTGGATGGTTTGATATGCCTGTCACAAACATGCATTACAGAATTGCATAGTGGGGTGCAGGCTCTGCAGCAATGCTGGAGAAAGGCCTTAGGGAATGAGAACAGCATATTTAAGAATCCCGCAGCTAAATTCTGAAGTCTTCATTCAAGTAAAAGAAAAAAAATTACTTCAGTTAAATTGTTTTCTATAGAAAAAAAATCAGTGAGGAACATAGGTGACATAGAACGCACACTTGCAATATGAGTAGCATACTGTATTGAAAGCCATTACAATATTGTTGTTAAAATTCAGTGTTTTCCTTAACTTGAGCAAAGAGACGGGAATGTCCCCAGTGTCTGTGTGCCTGTATCAGGCCATGATTTTCTGCAGCTCCTTTTCCTTGTTCTTCAGAAAGAGAATTGAATTCAATAGATTTTTATGAATGCTAACCCACCAAAGACATTAGGCCAACTATCCCTTTTGTGCTCAGTACAGTTGGGCTATTCTCCTGCCTTACGGATTAGGAGCTAATGAGAATGTTACAGCAGGGTGTTCCAGAGCTGCTTCCGCTTCATTCATTCTGCTTTGTAATGTTGCCGTCACATGTTGGGATGACATCTGCTGTGTAGCATTGTTCTAAATGTGTCAATATTTAACATAAACCTGAAGCACTCATTCTTACAGTTCTGCAAAGACCTACAAGGGTTTTAAATACCTACGCAGGCTAGCTTCACTCAGATAAAAATATATAGATTTCAATTAAAACTGTTAATTTAAAGAATAAAGTGGCCTCATTCAACTTGGACTTCCTCAGAGTTCTTCCCAGAACCTAGCAGAAGATCAGCGCTCAGACTCTTGTACAATGCAGTTGTCTGCCATTCCCTTCCTTACCTTACACACAAACACATATGAGTTTTAATACACAGATATAAAATTATTCAACTGCCTTTTAATTCAGACTACTCTACTTTTTGCAAAATCCTTTGGCATTGAGTTCTGTAGCACAACAATTGAAACCGTGCAGGAATTAACTGGTGTCTTTGCTAGCTCTGCAAGCAGTGCTCTCCGTAGTCGCGCAGTTTCTTACCTCTATTGTTATTGTTATTGTTTTCCTCTTGAAGCAGATCCTGATCTTACTTGCCAGACTACTTCACATTGCTTCCTTCACTGCTACACAATCTCTAGGAGAAACTTTTCTGTTGACTTGAGTGTGACTGGTGGCCCTGGCCAACCCCTGCTTGCAGTCTTTCCAGACACTCACACCTCCCCATACTCTCCCAGTTTAATTTTTTTTGCACGAATTTTAACTGAATTCAGCCAAACAGCAGGTGATTTACAGTGCTGGAGACCAAAGCCTTCTAGTTACTTGCCAGACTCCCTGAAGAACTGTAGGAATGTGACTTCTCCCCTGTATATATCATATTCTGCTTATCTGAAAGTCCACTGTAACGGTGGTTCAACCTTTTGGTTAAATCATTTAGAGCTCTACAATTAAAACAAATTATGTGGGCCAAATTAGTTCCACCAATAGCATAAATGAAGTCACAGTTTTTGTGGCAAATAATTTGGTCCTAGTAAAAGTTAGCCAAGGCTCAATCCTACAGATTGAGCTGCTGCTTAACAACTGGCCCTTGACCACACAGCAGCAGACTTGTCTGTATTACAGGTACACACATTGTGCCCTTCAGTGGAATACCCAAACGTATTTAATGTATTTTTCTTTATGAATGTAAAGAAACCCTCATCATTTCAGAAAAGAGAACCGGGTCACCAATTGAACGTTATGGGGGCTTGGAACTGATTCTCAGTCTCCAAACTCTCACTTAAGGATTCATTGAGGCTTCTGTAAAAAACCTTACAAAACTATAAAGGACAACTCGGGCTTAATTCTCAGAGATACACAATTGGTCTTCAGTACTTATCTAAAGTCCCCTCACATGCACAGGGAGTCCCAGCTGAGACCACATGAATTCAGGAGTGTCTGCTCTGTTGGATCTGTTTCACCATGGGAAGGCTAGCACTGAGAAGCTGCTTTAGTTTTTTGTTTACTAACAGTACAATGAAAAAGGAGGACAGATTAATTTTTGTTATAACTGACATTAGCTCAATCAAGTTCACATATATTTCTTTCCTTTATGAACTACATAATCCTATTTCTCTGATCTCACAGGATAAATACACTAAAGATTACACAGTGCTCAGGCACAATGTCAGTGTCAATACTTACATCAATGGCTTGGATAATGCAAGAGTTGAATTTCTTGTCATGAATATCTACAGTTGGTTGTTAGCAGAAAGCTTCCTGAACGCTGCTTTTCAGTAGCTTTCATACCCAGCACACACTGAGCCCACTGGAGTCTGTGTCTCTCCCTGGGTTCCCCTGCCGCTTTACCTAGCTATTCCGTAAAACAGTGTGCTCTGGATGGGTTGGAGTGCGTGCTGCCCATGCTGGGAGGTGGAAAAGAGCTTCATAAAAAATTGTGAGAATCAGAAGAAAAGTTAAACATTTTATATCTACCGTGCTCAGGACCACCCAGGATGAAGATTCTGCTCTAAGGACATCCCTTCACTGAGGGACTCTCTAGTGATGTAGTTCCATGGGGACCACAGATCCTGTAATCTGCATATGCCTCCCCATCTACCTCAAGAAACTAATGTAACTTGGAAGTAGGCAGATGGCAAGAAAAGAAGACATCTATGTCAGAACACTATCACCAAGACTTATTTTCTCCATGAACCACACTCACTAAAGTTCCTTATCCACATGTACATGTGAAAGAGAGACAGCATGACTCACATGCTCAGCTTAGCAGCACCCAGCTAATTCTACTAAATATTAGTATTGTAAGCACTGAAATGAGACAATCTGAAAAATCCAAATCCATTATTTCTTTGTCGTATGTTTCCATCAGGATTAAAGATTCCTGAGCTGTAATGTGATCCGTCATTCAACAAAGTATGTGCAAGGCAGAAGAAAACATTGTTCATTCTTCCACAACTGTACAGGCTTTGTGGGTCTAAAAGTAGAAGCAGCTTATTTCTGACAGTAAAATGAATAGTGACTCTACAGGCACAGATGATGGATCTAGAGGGTATAAGGGAGCTTTTTTGGCACTCTGATCCTTTAAAAGCTGATAATTTCTACTACAGAAAGACAAAAGAGACATTGCTGGTGGCACTGTGCTCTTAATTTATTTGTAAACTATTATTTTCTTCATACAGTACACAAGAATGCATGTTCTCAGCACTGAGGATCTGCAGTATTATAATATAATGCATGCTTCACAATGCCTGACTGCTTAATTCACGCTGCACTTACCAGGGCACCAATTTGGCCTATATGCTACATTAACAATTCTGCTCACACCTTGTCCAATGGGATTTTTGTTTTTACCTTTTTGAAACTGCTTAAGTATGTGGAAAAATATATAGCTAGAAAATGAGTGAACAGTAGTATACACTTACACCTCTGCTCTCCTTTCAGATATTACCCTCCATAACTACACAGAGTTAAATGAAAGGAGGTAACATGAATGCGGAGGTGGGTTGAGGGGACAAAATGAAACCGTGAGAAGGATCATGTTTAATTCAGAGAGCAACATCAGTTCTTACAGATCTGCAAACAGTGGGGTATTCCAGCCTGGCTCCAGCAAGACTCCTGGTGAGCCTGCAGCAAACACTAAACCCATAAAAGTGGCAAGCATTGGGAAGAAAAAAAACAAGAGGAAGGCAGCTGCCTGCACCAGGCAGAGTGAGGGAGCATGTTGCAGTAGGATAACACGTTTCACTCATCAAAGGTGGAACTGAGTGTCCTGCAGGGAATCTGCAAGAGCTTTTACATCGAGACTATGGCACAGGTAATGTCCA